GTATGTACAATCGTCTCTCAAAAACATCTCATCACTGAAAGGTGCAAATGTAATGAAATGAAAGACATGCAAGTAAAACAACGTCACTCAAGTAGAAAACGAGGCAGAAGAAATGTGTATAGTTGAGATTTCGCAGATATTGCCGTCATAAAAGGGCAGAATTATGCAAGAGTTGGAAGATGGAAATCAACCTGATGAGCAAAGTACAGGGCATGACGGATATAACTAGAAGATCTGATATGATTTCAAACTCGTACTCTACTTCAGCCGTAGTTGAGTAAGTTGATAAAACAGCAGGTAAGCCTCTGTCATTACCACATCGCCGTAATGCACCTCCTTAATCTGTAAAGAAAAAGCCAAATAAGCATTTTTGCGACTGAAATTTGATAGAACGAAAGCAAGAAAAAGGATACAAAACGCTCACCTGATGATCATCACATCTGTACCATTTATTCTGATTTCTTCGAACATAACTAATATAGTGTCCCGCACCCGAGGAATCTCCGATGTGGGTTACAATAGCGAAAAGTGAGTATCTAAGGACACAAGATTCAGCAAAGTCCTTCACCCTCTCACGAAACTTACGAATGATTTTTATGACTAAGCATTCCAGCTGACGTTCTCGGATCAAATAAAGAAGGATTGTCGAGAAACGCAGACGTAAATGGTGACATATCCGATTCAAGCTCAAACCTAATTCACTCACGTTCAATGACTGTACATTAGAGCAAATAATGTGTACTAACCAAACTATGGTACTATTTTTTCCAGTAGCTGAGGGGCTGAAGCGCTTGAGATGAAACACGATCACAGACGGTAGCACTCTGAAAATTGTGGGGCTGAAGTCTTCAGTTAAACTGCATCTTCTGAAGATCAGAGCTTGGCTGTCAACAAACAAAAACTAGCTGAAGATGCCTCCTAGATTTCAGTCGCTAAAGTCAGCCTACGAGAAATTTTACACTGCTTATTTGAAATTTTTATACGGGAATTTTATCGTGTAGCTTTCCTGGAATAAAAGCTAATAAAAGCTAGCATTTTCCGATATCGGCAATGACGCAGACTAATCTTTATAGTTTTGTAGAACCACTCCTGGGCCCTTCAATAGTTTTAGAAAGCTTCGCAGTACCGCAAGTACCCTGAGACACTGATCCGGCAAGTCCTCAACCTTTGCTTCTACTCCAAGGTGGCTGTACACGTTACTCTAAAAGCGTAAATGAATCTCGGAAGACTCGAAAGCGGAAAAAACGATCATTTTCAAAATGTTTCCAAACAGGGGCAATTGGCACTGCCGACCAAAGAGAGGCACATGCGTGTGCTTTATTTATGACATAAAATTGTGCGATTCAATGCTGGAACCGAATCTGCGGACACGGCGAGCGCGAGCGAAACTGGCCGCTTTTTACAGCGATTTCTTTAACAAAGAACCCATGCAAAACTTGGTCTGGCGCTTGGTAGAAAGGTCAATTCTATATTAAAGCCCAACTTTATTGCCTAGCTTGCCTTTATACTGTCTCAATTTGAGTGTCACAGCTTACGTGGCTTCGTGGGCTCCTCCAAGCCCTGCCTTAGGTACGTATCCTCGGCACTTTCCCTCGTCTCAGCGGCGAAGAGGGCTGCTGAAACGTGGAAAATGTCCTAAGGACACGTTCGCGGCCGCGAGGACAGAAACCGCTAAAGCTTGTGACACTCACATTGGGACAGCATATACGTGCACAAAACTTTTGGATATGAGTGTGGGTTTATCAGTTTAGCGGAAACTAACTTGAAACTCATTCGTCGGGTTGCACGCAGACATCCACAGCGTTCACAGTTACGATCAAGATCTTCTTTTGCGCAAAACCTAAAA